GAGAGAGGGGGGGGTGGACGGAGAGAAAGGGGAGGGGGGAGGGAGAGAGAGAAAGAAAGAGAGATAGTGGAAGGAGGTGGGAGGAAGAGGAGGCATAGTGCGCGTGGAATGTTTATTACCCCTTGTGTTGAGAACATTGAATTAGAAAGAAGTTACATTACAGTGTATTACAGCATAATAAGTGGATGATGCCCACTTTAAGGAAGTTAATTATATACTGTGTATTAATAATCCTGATCCTTTCCAGAAAAACAAGTTTCCAACTCGAAAGTTTGTTGCGTTTGGGGTTAGGGTGTTTGGGGCTCCTCCCTCCTGTACTCACCCTAAAGCATAATTTGTAAAAGTTAGAACTCATGATATTCCTTTAATTCCTTAGATAAAACCATATCGACGTTCTTCTTCATTTTGAAAGAGGTAATATTGTAATAACTTTGAATTCAAATGTCTCAAAAGTGTGAGTAACTGAGGTACAACCTGATTATTCTCGAGTCGCGACTATTTTTTTTTAATGGAAAAAAAAAATCAAACGTAAAAGTATCTGACAACCTGATTATTCTGGGGTCTCGGCAAGTAGAACTAAAAAAAGAAAAAAAACAACAACAGCAAAATCAAAATCAGAACGACAACAACAACAAATCAACAACAAATCAACAACAACAACAAATCAACAACAACAACAACAACAACAAAACAACAACAATACAACAAAATGAACGAGGAAGTTGTTTCTTGTGACCGTCAATTGTGCACTTTCTGCATGAGTTGTTTGATCTGTTGATGTGGACAGGTGCTCCACGTTCCCTTTCTCGTTTACTCTCGGTTACACGGCAATAGATCTGCCCGATACATTGAGACTGAGAAGGAGAGGAGTGTGAAGAGAGGGAGAGAGAGGGGGGTGGGGGAGAAAGAGAAGGGGGGTAGACGAAATTTGAAAAGAGGGAGAGGAGCGTGAGAGAGGAGGTGAATCCGCTAAATACATGGAGAGGCACGGGGTGAGGATGGGAGAGAAGGAGGGAGGGGGGATAGAGAGAAAGGAAAAGTTGATAAAAAAGAAAAAGAGAGAGAGAGAGAGAGGGAGAGAGAGAGGGGGGAGAGAGAGTAACAGTAAAGGAATGGGGTTTCTGAAAACATTTGTTTGTTTTGTTTGTTTTTGTAAAGTGTTTTACGGCGCTCGCAACTGCATAAGGTCATATGAGCTCACGGGACACACCTAATATTTTCAGTTGGTAGGAAATTTCGAATTTTGCCCGGGTGGCGGCCGAAGCCTACTCTTATCGATTTTAGACCACCAAGGGATCTTTAACGTGCGCAACTTGCACACGGGCCCTCCGAGATTTTTCACCCTT